TCTGCCGGTTTCATAATCACACAACTTGCATTTGAATCCTTCTCCTAAACCATGTTTAGAAAACTTGTGTTTTTTAAGAAGTTCTTGTCTGCCGGTTTCATAATCACACAACTTGCATTTGAATCCTTCCCCTAAACCATGTTTAGAAAACAAATGTCTTTGAAAATATTTCTTTTGAGATGCAACATAGTCACATAGTCCACATTTTAATTTAGTTTCAAAATTATATTCGTCGATTTGGTGGGCATTTAAAGGAACTTTGGAATGTAATGAATCAGTGGATGAGGAAACTTTGTGCAATTTCTTTGCCAATCTTGCATTGTCATTGTTGGTCAAGTTGTGTTCAAGAGACTTGAACTCAGATGCAGACTGAATAATAACTTCTTGGCCTGCACTTGCACTATTGGGTCCCAAAAAAATATTTTTCTCATAAGCAGACATCTCTTTTCCGTTGGTTTCAGGACAAACACCTATCCATTTATCCTGCCCAATGTTGCCCTGGGCATTGCATGTATCCTGAAAGTAAACAGATTCTTGCATGTGATTTTTTCATATAAGGCAATGCATAATAAAATTGATTTAGTGTTCAAATAAATTCTATAATCATATAATAATTATTATCTATTGCATGCAAGCCTTTGGGAGGCAAAACTCTTGAAAAAGCAGGAATTAAATTAAGTTATATTAATACTATCAATAAAATTAATTATATTCCAAATGAATAGAAACTCTTCTTGGCAATTGAAATGGTAAGGTCATCTGAGGATGGAACTTCTATCAATACAAGCACATTAAAAAGCCTCATTTTGTTTCTGATGTTCATTCTGGGTGTGTGATCAAGGATAAATGTGCATTCATGTAAATTTTCAATAAAAATTCAACAACAATATCAAAACCAAAAAAAAAGAAACAAATAAGATACACATGAAGGGAACTTCATTGCAACACGCATAGCAGGGTAGATTTATTGCTGCAGAAGTCTTGATCATTTCTAGCCTACAATAGAATATTTGTGACAAACTTAGATTCAACAGGTAGATATTCTATCAGAAACTGAGTCAAGAACTTTGGATAGGAGAACATAAAAATTGAAAATATAAATTGCTCTACAAATGAGAAATGTATAAAAAATAGGAGCTGAAGAGAGACGAGATGTTCACAGTACAGCCAATGCAGACAGATCATCAACATTTCAATTCCTCAGCAGTTCATTTTTAGTCAGAAACAAGCTCTACCAACCTGCTTATGAGGCACGGCAGCAGTGTGCTGTGAGGCGCTGGTGCAGGCCTCGTGAGCCTCAACGTGAACCTCCTTCTCGCATGGCTTGCAAGATGAGGGAAGTGGAGTTTGCTGGTCAACACATCATGAGCAGGGACATTAGTTACCATGCATGGATTTGGATGAAATTCAGGTATTAAAATGATCACAGCCTAGTTTAATTCAAATAGGATCAAGCTCAAAATTAGGCATACAAATATTCAAGTCAGGAAAACAGAATAATACAATGTGAATCATATCTCAAAATTTGAAATTCTATTTATAAACAATTCATGATCTAGCATCCAATGATCTAGCATCCAACATTCCTTAGAAGGTTATTTCATAGATTTTGCTCCTGTACATATATGATTAAACCACAAATGTTCATATCTTTATGGAAAACGTTTCGGAGTCCAGCTCCATCGTCAGTTCGTAGAATCTATAATTTACATAGAAAGTCACAAATTAGTACAATTGAAAGCACAAAAAACACAATTAAAAACCTAAACTTACAAGTACCAGGGCACAAAACCTATCTATTCACAATTTCAAGAGGATAGGAGCTACCAGCTGAATTTAAACTGGGCCTAAGTTTAAAAATGTACATAAATATCAACTGTAAATATCAACTAAATATCAACATAAATATCAACTGTAGCAGAGTTATAAATTTGTCTATTTATTGTTTGTTAGGGGTGGAATTCAATGACTAGCAAATGAATATTTTTACAAACTTCACCTCATATTCTTCACTGCAAAGTGGTTCATCTTTCACAGTTATGTCCTCTCCCTCATCTTCAGGCTCCTCTTTGATGTAAACTGTCGTGATGGAGGGTAGGGATGAGCTGCTGCCCTCCATTGCTGGATGGAATGTGCAAGAATTAACAGCATGATGATACTGGCAGGGAAGAATATTGACATTGCAATGGACTCTAACTACAACTATGAATGGTATTTTCCATAGAATCTGTGGGGAGAACATTAACAGCAAGTCATCATAACCAACTTGCTTATCAACATTAATTGTCAAGATATTTGGTTCAACAATTGTGTGAACAATAAAAGAAAATCATAAATATCAATGAATTTTAGCATCTTCCAGATCCACAAATAAAATAGACATTTAAACACTACCATCAAACAGGGTAATGAGGAACTGGCGGGGTAAATCGGGATTCCTCTGCCACGGTATAAAAATGTTATAGCAGTGAAACTAATTAAAATATTGCAAAACTAAAGATAGTGGCATAAACTTCAACCCTTTGTTATTATCTATGTAGCATAATGGAAGTTAAGAAATCATACATTTACTAGCTCTAAATATCCCTAAATAAATGTTTAGAAGAGATATTTTGAAAAAGTACTTCCGTTAAGGTCTGTAGTAAAAAAATATTTGCCACATTAAAAAAATTTGCTAAAAAAAGTTGCAGACAGGTGTCGGCTTTAAAACTTCAAAGACTGAATTTGTGTAATCTAAAACGCAATGGCGACCATTTCGGCATGATGGGATATTTATAAGGGGTAATACTGGACATCCCTAAAAATGCATTTTCAGTAGAACCTTAGTAAGCAAAGGCTCCAGTTAACAAAAAAGTTGGTAAACAACAAAGAATTTTCATCACATTAACATCACTTAGCAAAAAAATATTCACTTGACAAAAAATTAATGCTTCATTGGCCACCACAAAGTTATGAATATAATGTCATAGACAGAACTGTGATTAGACATATTAGACTGTGACAGAACGTATTAACCTAAACTAAGATACATTTCTTCAAAATATATGATGGTTGTCACTAAAATATTCCTATTGGTTTTAGGTACCTATGTTTTTTATGATATTTTTTGTCATAGTGAATTCTCTTGACACAATTAAAATGGTGCAAAATTACAAGCCCAGTCCTTTAAGCTTACGGATAAAGAAGAAATGCTATAGCCTATAGGGCTGCTGATATGAAGCTTGCAGTTATGTAACAAGGTCATTGCCAATTATCAGTAGCATGTCCATGGATATGGCAATGTCACATCAATAATTCAGTTATGTATGGATATGGAGTAATATCATATTAATAAAGGAAAAACAAGTACCATCAAATGGGGTAATAAGGGATGGCAGGGTAAATTGGGACAGTCCTCCATCATTTTGTAGAAATATTGTAGTAGCTAAACTAATTGAAATATTGCAAAACTAAAAATAGTGGTGTAAAGTTGAACATTTTTCCTATCTATGTAGCATAAAACAAGTTAAGAAATCATACATTTACTACCTCTAAATAATCTCTGAAAAAAGTGTGAAAAGTGAGATTTTGGAAAAGTGCCTCTGCTAGGGGCTGTATTCTGTAGCAAAAAAATATTCACCATATTAAAAAACGTACATACCAAAAAAGTTGCACACAGGTGTTGGCTTAAAAACGTGATTGATGGAATTTGCATAGCTTGATAAAAAAATTGTGGCCACTTCTGCAAGATGGGGGTAGTAAGGGGCACCCTTAAAAACGCATTTGCAGTAGAACCTTGGTTAGCAAAGGTTCCAGTTTCTGAAAAAATTGAGTAATAGCACAGAATTTTTATTACATTAACCTCACTCAGAAAAAAAATTCACTTGACAAAAAATTAATGCATCATCGTCTTCACAAAATTGTGCGTAGAATGTAATTTATAGAAGTTTGCACCAGGCAACATAGAATGAAAAGTAATTAACCTAAACTATGGTTTATTTCAAGATATCAATTACCCAACATTTACATCATCTACCAAGGAAGAAGAGGACTTTGGAGTAGGTACTCAGTGTCAGTACTGTTAGTAATGGGCAAGTACACTCTGCATGCACAGTACACTTCCAGGGGTAATTTGGGATGCTTCTTGTTTGCGTCAGGCACCTTAGTGACCTTACCAGTAGCATATAGAATTTTTTGGAGATGCCATACAATAGCCCTTGCAAAGACCTTTAAAATGAGCCCAAGCCAGTTAATAAAATCTCTCATAGTAAGAACTTGGCATAGTGGCAGTTTGGCAAAGCAGACTTTTTTTGACTCGTCCTCAAGTTCAATTTCGAGTCTTATAAATAGTTAGTAGACCAACAAAGTATCGTGGATACCAGCATTATCATAGATAAGATATTAAATCTTGCACAAATGAGTAAATTAAAAATGAACTGATTCTAAAAAGTCTCCGGTTTGTCACTGTGCTAAGTCTATGCTGATGCCTGAGAAGTACCGTAACTCAGAAGTTATCAACAAAAAAAATGTGTCCCTTACAGTGGAAAAACAAACCTGGGGCACACCTCAATTGAGCAGCAAGAATAATAAAAGAAGAAAAACAAAAGAAGTACAGAAAAAAGACAAAGATTGAAAGATGAGATGAGTAGAATAGAGAACATGGTTTATGATGAAGCTGGCTATCGGCTATGTATATCTAACTTCAAAGTTCAAGGTAGAGAATAGACATAAGGGACATAAAATTGAGGGTTGGCATGATATGTCTCTAAATTGACAGTGTCTCATTCAATTCCCAGCCCAGTTAGTTGCTATATCTATGCTGTGCCTTACATGAGTTTGTACAAGTTCCTGAAGCTCTAGAATTTATTTGCCTATCCTATACAGTTTCCGCTGTAAACAATACTTCCGAGAAGCTCGTACGCTCTGCCGGAAAATTTCTCCGCTCACGTCGGTCGCATTTAATCAAATTAAGTAATCTTTGATTATGCATTTTCTGTCTTTCAATCCAATGAATAGTCATGGTTAATCACGAAAATCCGACTTTTGTGAAAGCATGTCCACGCTGAAGCCCATCACATCAAGCGTGAATTGAAGCGCCGGCAAGCAAATGCTTGGAAATAATTCTTCATTTTAGATTTATTTTTCAGGCTTCGGGTACGGAGATAATGAACCTCCAACCCTGAGCACCACTAGCATTTTGGTTGATGCCCTTCGCTTCACTTTAGGCTACCTTGCCTTTCTTTCACTATACATTGAAATCCAACACTTCCAACCGATGGTGCGACAGTACCTGGTGAAAAGAAAACAGTAGAATCAAGCTCTGAACCACATTGACAATCTTGTCACCATTGCAGCTCAGCAAATATTGACCAAGATGACAGATGACAGCAGTACGGTTCTTCACTAGGGCGCCATCAAAGCCCAGAGCTGAGGTTAGCTAACTGAGAGGCGAGAGGCGTTTCAGTCCTGAGAGGAAATCCCTTCGTGGGTCGTTGATTGGTCTACGCTTGGTGCAGTAGAGATGGCTGATTGTGACTTGAACGTTGCACACTTGACAGTGACTTGAATTATCTAGTTGAATCTGGCCACAGTTCAACGTTGATTGCATGCCCCCAGACGCGAATGTGACACCACGCATTCAATTAAGAGTGAAAGCGATACACACAAAGGTAAAAATCATGGTTTCAATCTTCATCGGAAGGTCTCCTTGCCTGTTTCTAGCGCCTCCGCTGACCAATGGCGTGCCCATTCTTAGACAACGAAAGATTTTTTTAAAAGATCTACACCTCCTACAGCTGAAATTTGTTGAATGGTGGTGCGAATGTGTCATAATTGTTTTTCCGTCTGCCGCATCATTACCATGGATAACACTATGGTATCGTATACAGCAAAGCACCACGCCTTTTCAAGACCCTTGACAAGCATCAATAAACTTTCTGATCTCAGAGGCAATCTTGCGATATAAGCGTCCAGATATTTTGTGAATTGAATTGAAATATGCTCTTCTTTCAGAGATTCTTTATCAGTGGCCAGCTGCATCCCAGTTAAAATTTAGGGCAGGGAATAGAGCAGGCCGTCGCCGGCTGCAGAGCCGACGTAGGGACGCGACAGAGCCGCGATAGAGCAGAAATGTCCGCATTTGGCAGGCATTACACAACGGGATCGCAGTAATCGTACCTTTCGCCATGCCACCCCGATGGGAGTGGTGTACGTGATTTTAGAGAGGAATTCCCTCTTGTATGAGCGTTTACGCTTAAGAATACAGTTACGTGCTATTGCCTGGCAGCGCTTATACTCAATAAGGTTAGCCTGTGTTGGGTTCTTTTCCAAGGCTCTACGGGCACGATGCCTATTTCTCACTGCCTCTCCGCAGGCTTCATCCCACCAAGGAGAGGTTAGGCGCTCTGAACGCTTCCGAATAGTCATGGTTAATCACGAAAATCCGACTTTTGTGAAAGCATGTCCACGCTGAAGCCCGCCAGATCAAGCGTGAATTGAAGCGCCGGCAAGCAAATGCTTGGAAATAATGCTTCATTTTAGATTTATTTTTCAGGCATCGGGTACGGAGATAATGAACCTCCAACCCTGAGCACCACTAGCATTTGGTTGATGCACTTTGCTTCACTTTAGGCTACCTTGCCTTTCTTTCACTTGGTATCGTATACAGCAAAGCACCACGCCTTTTCAAGACCCTTGACAAGCATCAATAAACTTTCTGATCTCAGAGGCAATCTTGCGATATAAGCGTCCAGATATTTTGTGAATTGAATTGAAATATGCTCTTCTTTCAGAGATTCTTTATCAGTGGCCAGCTGCATAACCTTGTGTATGGCACACTATTCAGCCCCAAGAACAGTGTGTTCCCGTCGAAGCAACAAGCCTGTTGCTGACTCTTGCACTTAGTCTTGGTTCACACCGTATATACTCCCTGCCAGGTGCCAGTCACGGTCCAGTTCAATAATCTCTAATGCATTTCTATAGGAGCATTCACACCGGCCGTGCAAGGCACCTGCCATGCCAGGCACGGTCCAGCCACGATAATAGCAAAAAATATTTTGCGTTGCCAACTTTTTTATTTGCCGGGTATACCAGATTACCAGCTCAACAAACCGGATTTCAGCAAATATGCCTAACACGTGCCGAGCTGTTTGGAGTGAATCAAGTCCGGTAGAAACTGTCTCATCTGCAGACTTGGAGCCATCCGTGTAAATCTAGAAATATTTTGGTTGGTGCTCCAGCCAAAATTCAGTAAAACAATTCTGAATAGATTAATGTCGCAACATTTTCAATGAATTATCTTGAAGGTTGAGATGAATACTTGAAGTAAGATCCGCTTGAGGCGAAATTGATCTTAAAAAGGGAATAGTAGCACGCCGTGGGAGTGAATGATCCAGCTTGCAGAGGCTTTCACGAGCTCTGGGCAGAGATTAACGAAACTTCGCTAAGTACACGTAACTTTTCGTACTTACGTTCAAAAAGTTACGTATTGCCTAAGTCAGTCAAAATTTGGCATTGACAAAACTGTCTTACGCAAGACTCATCTGAAAAGGTATTATCGAAACCATCCAACTAACTGACCAATCAGAGGCTTCGAATTTGCCATTCCTAGCTCCTGTCGACTCAGTACGCAGTGCGCGTGGATGAAAGGAGGTTGCATTGTGTCAGCGTCATCTGCGTTGACTGACTAGGGAGCATATGGAGAAATCAGTGAGACGTTGTCTAAATAGCAATGACAACGCCTTGATTGTAATTTTTTGCAATCAAGGCAAAAAATTACATTTTTCCCATTCAAAATTTGAGGACGTTTTAGAGAGCTACCTAGAATTTAGAACATTTTGTGAGTTGGAGTTCAACTATCAGCGGAGAAAGAAAGGAATTTGTGTACGTAGCTAGAAAAATGGTTGGCTTGTCAAACTCCACTTAGTTTTGAATCAAAAAGTCATGAAGATATTATTTTAGTGAATGATCATAAAACACTTACATACGAATATCAAGATTTGCTTGCAAATTATAGCACAAAAGGAAAAGAAATTAGCTGGCATATTTTAATTGAATTTTTTTCTCAAAAAGCACCGTTTAGCACGATCACATATTATGCCTATGTTGAATTATTGACAAAATTCTATCACAATTCATTGTGTTGCAAGTAAATCAATAGCTTTATATTGCTTCGGCACACTCAAAACGTCTACGTAACTCCACTTACGACACCTCCGAGCAGGCGTAGAGCTACGTACTGTTTCTTGTACGTAGCTTCCCGCGCAAATGTTTTGATAATACCACCGCTAGAGTTACTTCTTCATATCAGCACTTACGCCACACGTAAGTCGCTACGTGTACTTAGCGATGTTTTGATAATCCGGCCCCTGATGATGAGGGTGTTCACTATAAACTCCCCATGCAGTCAGATAATCCTAACATGGATGTTACATGGTTACTTGCCAGCATGTACACTGTACAGAGATCAGGTAACACACTTGGTGAACAAATACAAGACTCGCAGTTGCAGGGGTGCAATGAAGTTTTCAACTTTCAGATACACTTTTGTCGTGGTTCGTCGGGTTCCGTGAATCTACCAAAGAGCAGGTTTTAGAACAGTTGCAAGATGGCTCATTAAAGACTTCGAGATATCACATAAAATTGTGGAGCCACACTCAATCTTGCTTTTTATTGTGACGT